GATAGTATATTTTTGGCTGCAGGTTGTTTGTTTGTTTGTTTGTTTGTTTGTTTTTCCCAGCTCTTTGAATACATCCTGCCATTCCCTCCTGCCTGCAAAGTTTCTGCTGAAAAATCTGCTTATAGCCTTAAGAGATTTCCCTTTTATGTAACTGTTTTCTCTTGCTGCTTTTAAAATTCTGTTTATTACTGCTTTCCATTTTAAGTACTACGTGTCTTAGTGTGGACCTCCTTGTTGATTTTGTTGGGGGCTCTCTGTGCTTCCTGGATCTGGATTTCTGTTTCCTTCCCAAGAACTGGGAAATTTTCAGCTATTATTTTTTCAAATAAATATTCTGCTTCCTTCTCTCTCTCTTTCCCTTCTGGAATTCATATAATGCAAATGTTACTACGTTTGATGGTGTTACTGAGTTCCCTTAGTCTGATTTCATTTTTTTTTTTCTTTTTCCTGTTCAACTTGGTTGCTTTCCATTACTGTGTCCTCCAAGTTGCTGATCTGTTCTGCTTCCCCTAGTCTACTATTTACTTCCCTCTAGTATATTTTTAACCTCACTTATTGAGTTGTTCATCTCTGATTCGTTCTTTTTTTTTTTTTTTTTTTTTTTTTTTTTTTTTTTTTTGTATCTCTTTGTTGAGGGTCTCACTAAGATCCTTCACTTTGTTCTCAAGTCTAGTGAGTATCTTTATGACTATTACTTTACTTACTTATTTTTTAAATATTATTCCTTTTTTCTTTATTTATTTTGAGAAAGAGCATGCGAGTGGGGAAGGGCAGAGAGAGAGGGAGAGAGAATTCCAAGCAGGCTGTCATTGTCAGTGGAGAGCCTGATGCAGGGCTGGAACCCATGAACTGTGAAGTCATGACCTGAGCCAAAGTCAGACACTTAACCGACCGAACCACCCAGGTGCTCCTATGACTATTACTTTAAATTCTTTATCAGGGATATTATTTATCTCTGTTTTGCATAGGTCTCTTGTGATTTTGTCCTGTTCTTTCATTTGGGACACACTCCTCTGTCTCCTTATTTTGTCTAACTCTGTTTCTTTGTGTTAGGTAAGTCAGCTATGTCTCCCACTCTGGAAAACTGTGGCTTTGTGAAAAAGAGGTCCTATAGTACCCTGCAGTGCACTGTCCCCTGTTCACCAGAACCCAGTGCTTTAGGGATATTTTCTATGTGTGTTGCATGAGCCACACTGCTTTTAGTCCAGTTGTCTGCAATGGCACTCTCTGCCTGTTGTGGGCAGGTTTTGGTCTCTGTGTTGTTAGTGGCCTAGTCTAGGGCCACCTTGGGCTTGAGTTGAGTCAGACCAGACATTTGCCAGAGATGGAGTAGCACTGAACTGCAGGATGCTTTCCCTCTGTTGTGCCCTGAGAAGCTTTTGTTGGTGGGTAGGGCCTGTAGTCAGACCGATGTCTGCCCCCAGCCCACTGCTGGGCCATAGTTGGACTGGTACGTGTATATATCTTCATCTCTCCCTGGGGCAGGAGTCACTTTGTAGTGGTAGAAGCCCCCATCAGGGCTACTTGCACACTTCCAGGCTTGTGGCACTGCTTTGGATGGACTCTGGCCAAGGGTCTATTGGAAGGGCAGGTCCGCAAGAAAAAGCAGGCTGAGATTCATGGTGCCTGCAAGATCTACACTGGTTTGCTGTGGGAGAGAGCTTGAAGACCATGAGAAAACTGCCCAGACTGGAATGGAAGGGTGGGTCCATATAATAGCTTGGTGAGCAGGGGGAGGGTTCAGAGGGCACTGTTAATAAGGTCCATGCAGGTGTGCTGTGAGAGGGGACCTGAGGCTGCTTGGGATGGAGGGGGTATGTCTGCAGAAGAATGTCTGGTGGAGCTCTCACTGTTAGCAGGAGAGTGTTCTGCTGCCCTGGTTCTCATAGGTGTCTGTGAATCCAGGCAGGGGAAGGAAATGGCTCTTAGAGAAGTCCCCCTCAAATCCCTGCCCCTCCAGCTCATGTACTGAGATTAGTAAAAAAAAAAAAATCTCCTTCCTGTATACCCAGGCATTTTTAAAAATTTTTAAAACACTTTTATTTATTTTTGAGAGAGCATGAGCAGGGAATGGGCAGAGAGAGGGGGAGACACAGAATCAAAAGTAGGCTCTAGGCTCTGAGCTGTCAGCACAGAGCCTGACACGGGGCTTGAACCCACAAACTGTCAGATCCTGAGCTGAAGTAACTGAGCCGAAGTAACTGACTGAGCCACCCAGGCGCCACCCACCCCAGGTGGCATTCTTTTTTTTTTTTTTTCAGGTGGCATTTTTCAAACTGCCTCTTCTATGCTGTGTGTCAGCTGGGCTCTTCAGTGCACTGTCTCTTTAAGGGCGGAGATTCAGTTTCCTTCTGCCCTCAGACTCTCCCAGAGCTGAGCTTGCTGATTTTTAAAGTTCCAGGTGGTAAGCCCACTGATTATAAGAACATGAGAATCCATGCCCCTTTGGTTTTCAAAGACAGATGTTTATAGGGATTCATCTCACCCATACAGGCCCCGTATGCATGGGGTGCCTGGTGTGGAGGTCTGCTCCTCTCCCCTCTCCACTCCACTGCTTCCCTCCCTCCCACAGGCAGTCTCACAGTCTTTTTGGCTCCCTACCACATCTCAGCCCTTCCTACCCTCTTCCATGTGTCCCCTTCTCTACATTTAACGGTGGAGAGTCTGTTCTGCCAGTCCTTGGGTCATTTTCTGAGCTATTTACACTGATTTTGATATTATCTAGGTGTGCCCGTGGGACAAGGTGAGCCTAGGATCCTCATATTCTGCCATCTTCCTCAGAAGTCCCTGGTTGCTTGTGCTTTAGATATCTAAGAAACTATTGCCTAATGCAAGGTCACAAAGATTTATACATGTGTTTTTTCCTAACAGTTTTATAGTTTTATCTGTTATGTTCAGGTCTTTGATCTATTTTGAGTCAATTTTGTATATGAGGTAGAGGTCCAACTTCATTCTTTTCATGTGGATATTCAATTGTCCCAGCATCATGTATTTAATTTTTTTTTTAACATTTATTTATTTTTGAAAAAAATTTTTAAACGTTTATTTATTTTTGAGACAGAGAGAGACAGAGCATGAATGGGGAAGGGTCAGAGAGAGAGGGAGACACAGAATCTGAAACAGGCTCCAGGCTCTGAGCTGTCAGCACAGAGCCCAACGCGAGGGTCGAACTCATGGACAGCGAGATCATGATCTGAGCTGAAGTCAGATGCTTAACCGACTGAGCCACCCAGGCGCCCCACCAGCACCATGTGTTTAAAAACTACTCTTCCCTATTGAATTGTCTGGGTAATCTTTATTGTGAATATTGAGAATTAAAGTGCTTTATATCTTTGTAAACACTTATCAAGGATAGTTTAAACATTCCTTCTTATTGTGAAATTTGGGGCACCTGGGTAGTGCAGTGGGTTGAAAGATTTTTTTTCCAACATCATTTCTTCCTTCCTCCAAGACATCTTTATCCTTTCCATCACAATCACTTTCCTTATGTCGGTAAGTTTGCCTTCACCACGTTCCTCTGGCTGCATAGCTAGAGTTTCTTGACCTGCACAAGTGGAAGCATTCCCCTTGTCATTTTTTTTCTAGATCACCATTTAAGTTTGATTTGAATTTTACTTAAAGCATTATTACTTTCCCTTTTTCTGCTGTACATTGTCTTTGTTAGCCATTTGCCTCTTCCAGCTATTCATTTTTGTAAAATATCACATGAGTTTTCACTGGGAGATAAGGAGGCAACACAACTACATACTTCGGTGTCTGTGCATGAATTAACAGATGTGCAGTGACCAATCACTGATAGACTTTGAAAGAAGTGATATGATTGGTCATTCATCATGATGTGCAGCTGTTATTTACATCGTAATTTGTGGACTAAAGTGCTAGCAGCAACATTTGTACTTTATGCAATTACTCGTAGTCAATATGTTTTGGTGACTGAAATTTAAACTATGTTGTTGGAACTCTGGTGTTAATGAGTAGCTAAACCATTAGATGTGTGCCTTTTGGAACTGTGCAAAATCAGGATTGCCTATATTTAAATTGCTTAATTAAGTTGCCATTTATTCCATGGTAATCTACAATTTCCTTGGTATTCATTATATTACTAAAAGGTCTTGTATGTAGCTTTTTCTTTCCTGATCTGTGTTTATTCTCATCTGCCTAACCCTCACAGGATCTTTCAGGCTATGTGATACAGTTTTACTTAATAGGTTGATTCAACCCAATGTGTCTACAATATAAGGAGTAAAATATCCAGAGTAATAATAATTCACATAGGACTTGGACTTTGCTGTGGGCAACACTCTTTTAATTATGTTTTTCTTTCATTTCATTGGTAGTGCTCTTCAAATTACATTCTCCTTTTATTGTGTCATATTGGGATACAAGGAGGGAGCTAAGGGAAGGCATCATTCTCCTTAATTTATAAATAAGAAAACTGAGATTGTATTCAGAATTACATATATTGTAACTAAGAAAGCTAGAATTTAAACTCAGACCAGACACTTTTTTACTCTCTTTTGCTGCTTCCCACTGGGACATTGTCATTACCGATTAAAATTGTAGGAAGATATTTTATTAAAATTGATTGGGAGTTTCCCAGATATTGGGGCTTTGGAAAACATGAGTCTTGATTTAAATTCCAAAGAAAAGTGTTTAGTAAAAATTAATAATAGAAATCTCAAAACTCTAATTCTATAATATTTTAATTCTAAACATTTAAAAATTCTGATTGAAATTTTAGTTTAAGTTATATATTAGAGGAAAACATGTACCTCAAAATTTGCTAAAAGAAGGTGTATTAACTAAGGTTCTTAAATATATAGTAGGTATCCTTAGTTTTTTATCCTTGGTTCCTTAGGAACTGTCATTGATTTCAACTGCTTTGCTTCTAATTTCTCTAGAAGTACCTAACCATATCATGTAAGAGGCCAAAATAGGACTTACAGATTTTTTGAATAGTAATCTTGATTTTTTTTAATGCATGCTTTCTTCTTCTTCAGGTAGCAAATTATGGAGTTGGAGGACAATATGAACCCCATTTTGATTTTGCACGGGTAAGTTTAAAAAAAAAAAAAGAGAATGTAGGAGTTCTAACTGAAGCTTAGGCATGACATGTTAAGTCTGTTCTTTTAGTAGTAAAAATTCATAGCCTGTTTGCAATTTGTGGAAGCATGGTGGAATAGACATTCTATAAAACCTTTTTAGCAGTAACAAAACAAAACCCCTAGATGTTAAAAAAAAATTTAGGATACTTTTAAATGCATTGCTGAGACTGGAAGAAAGTAAAGGAAATTCCCAATTCCCAAAATGAACAAAGAAAACCTAGAAACTAAAATTAGAGTTAAAGGGGGGCTGGGCCAAAAAAGCTGAAGCTGAAAGCATTTGTCTCCAGGAATCTAGAGCTTTGAGGATTGATGGCTGTGTGAGAGGACCTGCCACTGTGCAGGCTACTGAACTTGAGACCGATGCATAAAACCTGAATCTCCAAAAGGATTATACCCTCAGAGAAAGAAAGAATAGCCTTGAAAAGAATCTGCTTGGAGTCAGGAGCCTTAAGGAGAGTTGCCTCTCATCATCCAGGTGGGCATGGAATGTGTATGAGAGCCTCTTCTGGGAGTTTGAAAGCCTAGGCCTGCTCTCACATGAACCTTTTATTTTGAATTTCACTACCCTGAAAGAGGAGAAATTAAAGTTGTTCATTTAGGTAGTGCTTCTTGGTACCTGGCAGAAACAAACTCATGTCCTCCCTGAAGACAGGCATCTTTATTCTAGTACCTCAAGAGTTTTAAAGATTAAGGTCAGCCAAATACAAACTCATTAAAAAAAAAAAAAACTGGTAATAAGACACCATTGGTGAGACTAAAGTGACCAACAGATTTAGAAGCCCCAGGATGTTAGGTACTTGAATAATCAGAGAATATAAAACAACTGTATAGTAGTTTTAAAAATAAAAGGATAAAAATTAATAAACTCAAAATGATTTAACATATTTGAAAAACAAATAGAAGCTCTAGGTAGAAAAAAGTAATTGTTGAAAATTTAAAGTTTGATGGATAAATTAAAACAGATTAGAGAGGGGCGCCTGGGTGGCTCAGTTGGTTGAGCATCCGACTTCGGCTCAGGTCATGAATTCATGGGTCCTGGGTTCAAGCCCCACATTGGGCTCTGTGCTGATAGTGCAGAGCCTGCTTGGGATCCTGTCTCTCCTCTCTTTCTCTCTCTCTCTCTCTCTGTGCCCCTCCCCCACTCATGCTTTCTCTCTCAAATAAATAAACTTAAAAAACAGAGACAGTTGAAGTGCATTATTGAATGAATTGGTAAATCTGAAGAAATTATAAGAATACATTAAGAGACAAGATAAAAAATACAAAACAGATGTAGAGAGACACTGGAGAATATATAATAGAAAGCAGTTTGCTAAAAAGCTGTCCTTTACCAAGTACTACTCTTGCTTAAGATTAATAAATATTAACCATACTTTTTTCACATTAAGCTATAAATTATACATTATACAAGTATACAAGTCTTCATTAAGCTTTATCATAAATACATGAATTCTAAGAACTGTCTTGGGCATTTTAATAAACTTCTTGATCTACTGTCATTTTAAAATAAGAGTACATTTTTTTGAAGGAAAACAGCCTATATTGTGTCATGGCCCTTGACTAGCTTAAATCCCAGAATTGTACTCTTTTTCTATGTAGGCCAGCAAGGAATATATTTTTAGTCTTTCCCTTCTTTTTTCAATTATTGAAAAATGTCTGAGTCTTGAATGATGTGAAAGAGTACAGTTCAAGCTCTGACATTAGTGCAACTAAATTTTTTTCTTAGTTTTTTATTTTGAAATAATTACAGATTCCTAGGAAGTTGCAAGGAAATGTACAGGGAGGTCCTATGAACCCTTCCCTCAGCCTCCCCCAGTGTTAACATCTTGCATTACTGTAGTTGACTATCAAAACCAAGAAATAAGCATTGGCACAAGACATAGAGCTATTTCATATTTCACCAGTTCTATTTGCACTAATTGTGTGTGTATCTATGCAGTTTTATTACATGTGTAACTTTGTGAAAGTACCACACAATCAGGATGCATAACTGCACCATGACTGCAAGACTCCCTTACAGTCCTGCTCTTATAGCTGCACATACCCTTCTGCTTCCCATCCCTTAACTGCTGGTAGCTGCTAATCTGTTCTTCTCTGTAATTATCATTTCAGAAATGTTATATAGATGTTATATGCAGTATGTATCTCTTTTCACTCAGCAGCATAATTCCTCTGAGGTTAGTGGAGTTCTTAAAGAATGTGTCAGTAGTGTGTTCTTTTTTATTGCTCAGTAGGAGTTCACAGTATAGACACACCACAGTTGGTTAATTGTTCATTCTTTGAAGGACAGTAAGGTAGTTTCCAGTTTGGGGCTATTACCAATAAAGATGTGTATAAATTTCTGTGTGAAAAATACATTTTCATTTTTCTGGGATAACTGCCAAGACACTGTATTGTATTTTAATTTAGATTTAAATACCTAGATGTGAATTGTCCAGACAGATTAAAGTGCCAACTGTCCAAAAGAATGACAAGCATAGTAGCAGTAAACATTTGAATGGACCATGAGTTCAATTTAAATCTCAAGGTAAATTCTTTACCTGCAGAGAATAGAGTTCATGAATGTAGCTAAGAGGCTGTTTCCCCCCTGCCCCTTTGGAAGCTAAAACTATAGGCATTAATTAATAATCTGTGGATAGTAGATACTGATTTTCGTTATTTAGGCTAATTAATATAGGTCCCCCCTACCCCCAGTGGTCTTATCAAAAGTATTCACTGTACAATCTGAATCAACAACCAACAAGTATTTGAGTGCTTGCTGTATATCAAGCACTAGACATTATAAATGAACCTTTTGGGTTTTTTTTGGCATACCCTTAAGCATATTACTGGTATTTAGTGCCACTGGATAATTTGCATTCCTGAATTTTATACCATTGAATTTGTTGTGTTTTATTCACAGAAAGATGAACCAGATGCTTTCAAAGAGCTGGGGACAGGAAATAGAATTGCTACATGGCTGTTTTATGTAAGTTATAGCTAAAAAAAAAATTTTTTTTTGCTAAAATTTTTAAGTTGGGATTTTATCACATGATGTTTATTTTGATGTTCAGATGTCTGTTTTCCTTAGCTCTTATTTAATATCCTAATTTAAAGTTTTTACAACTGAGTAAGTGGAGGGTTTTTGCATTTGTAACTTTTTCAGATAGTAATATTAAAACCTGAATAAAAAAGTTAAAATTACTAACAGTCTCAGGGCACCTGAGTGGCTCAGTCTATTGAGCATCTGACTCAGGTCATGATTTCACTCTTTGTGAGTTTGAGCCCCATATTGGGCACTGCGCTGACAGTGCAGAGCCTGCTTGGGATTCTCTCTCCCTCTCCCCCATTTGTGCTCTTCTCTCTCTAATTAAATAAATAAACTTAGTAATATTAATTTTTTTATATTTTTAACAGTCTATTTGGAGACAATCATTGTGGATATTTTGGTGTATGGACTGTTCAGATGTGTATATAGGCATCTCTGTATATCTTCACACACATTTAATAAACTTTCCTTTTGAATTTTTTATTGATACATATAAGAAAAGTATACAAATCCTAAGTACTATAACCTGATAAGTTTTCACAAAGTGAATACATCTGGTGTAAGCAGCTAAATCTAGAGAGCACATTATAGCATCCTGGAAGCCCCATTAAGGGTAACCATTTTCACATTGTTTAGTAAAATTTCAAAACAGCATGATCATTATTTTTAAAATTGTTTATATACCGGGGCACCTGGTGGCTCAGTTGGTTAAGAGTCTGACTCTTGCTTTCTGCTCAGGTCATGAGCTCACAGTTGGTGAGTTTAAGTCCCTCATTGTGAGTTCCCTGCTTGGGAATCTCTGCCTGCCCCCCTGCTCGTGCACCTGCACGCTCTCTCTTTCCCAAAAGAAATAAACTTTAAAATTGTTTATATACTTAAACATATTAAAAAAATTAAACTTTGGTCATAATACTTGCCCCAGTTATCTTTTGTTGCATAACAAATCACCCCAAAACTGAATAGATTAAAATAACTATTTTTATGTCTCATGGTTGTAAGGTGGGCTTCACTCCTGGTTCTTGCTGTGGATCATTCATACATCTGTAATCAGTTGATGACTGGCACTGGGGTCATCTTGAAGGTGGAGGCTGGCTTTGGCCAGAGTACCTGCATGTGGTCTGGGCTTCTTCCCAGCATGGTGACTAGATTGCAAGAACAAGTATCTCTGCAGAAAGCAAGGCTGAAATGCATGGCATTTTTATTACCTACCTTCAGAAGGCTTTTATTAATCAAGGCAATTACAAAGATCTGCCAAGTTTCAAGGGGAGGAGACATGGACCCTACCACTCAATAAGAATGTCAGTGTCATGTAAACAGAACATGTAGGACAGGGAATACTGGGAAATAGTATATTTGGAAAATATAACCTTCTACAATGTTGTAACCTTTGTTAACTTCAAAAGATGAATTTTAAGTCTAGACATAAATTTTGCTTATTTCATTGTTTTGTCCACCCCCTAACCCATTTGAATGATAGGAAAATGGCATCTCTTTTTGCTGTTTATCTCACTCCCTACCAAAATTTGTGTATCTCTGCTCAGTCTCATTTTCCTGCTTCATTGCTTCCTGCTACCTTCCCTATTTGTCTTTTACTTTATTTCTTCCATTCTTCTCTCTCTCCTTCCCTCTTTGCAATCCACCTTTTCACCTTCCTACCTCATCACCCTCCTTCCCTCTTACAACCTTATCTGTTTCTAAAAAGATTTAAGATACCATAAAAAAAAGGATTTAAGCACTGTAATAAAAAGGATTTAGGATTAAAAAAGAATTTGAGACATATAATGTTAAAGATGAGAGAGAATTATTACAAAGGGAAAATCAGGAGAGACGATGATACATTATACAAATTTCATGCTGTGAAATCTTGTATACTTTTTAGAAGTGAATTCTCCATAATTGTACCAATTTATAGCCTACCTTTAAGTGTGATATGTTTGTTAACCTTTTGGTCTGCACATCTTTCACTTATTATATTGGCAGTTATTGTGGTTTTAGTTTGTATTATTAGAGAGGTTGGTCATCTCTTCTGATGTTTGAGACATTAACCATTTTTTTTTTTGCTTTTATGAATATCGATGCTATACATTATTTGGTCCAATATCCATAAATATTAGATTATTTGACCATTAGATTATATGTTTGATTATTATATTCTATCTTAACTATATAGCATTTTGATTAGATCAGTAATTTTGCCCCCCACCCCCTGCCATTGTTTAAGTATTGTCCTACATGGTCCATTTAGCACAACTTTTTCATTTCTTCAAAGTTAGCTCTTTGCTCCAGTGGATGTGTTCATCATAGTACAATATCCTTCTTTATCTCAGTGCTTTTATTTTTATTTAAACTGTGTTCGATATTAAGATCAAACTCTATTTTCTTTGGTATAGCATTTGCCTGGCAATCTTTTTGTTTCAAGGCTTCTTGTTTTAGATGTGACTTTTGGATATAGCACAGTTGGGCTTTGCTTTGTGATACAGTCTTTGTATATACGTTCTACTTACATTGCTTGTGAAAAAATCTTCACTGCATGATAGGTGTCCTGTCTCATTTTGTCCCTTAATTTGGAAGATTTGTGTTTTACGTTTAAAAATTCCAAATTTTAATTCTGGTATAATTAACGTACAGTGTGATATTAATTTCAGCTCTACAATTTAGTGATTCAACACTTACATACAACACCTGGTGCTTATCACAAGTGCACTCCCAAATCCCCATTACCTGTTTACCAGAGTGGAAGGGGGATGGATGGGTAAATCATCAGTTTGTTCTCTACAGTTAGAAGTCTGTTTCATGGTTTGTCTCTTTTGTTCCTTTGTTTCGTTTCTTAAATTCCACATATGAGTGAAATCATACAGTATTTGTCTTTCTCTGGCAGACTTATTTTGCTTAACATAATACTCTCTAGATCCATCCATGTTGTTGCAAATGGCAAGCTTTCATTTTGTATGGCTGAATAATATTCCATTGTATATATAGACCACATCTTCCGTATCCTTTCATCAGTGGACACTTGAGCTGTTTCCATAATTTGGCTGTTGTAAATAATGCTGCGATAAACATAAGGGTGCCTACATCCTTTTGAATTAGTGTTTTCATTTTCTTTGGGTAAATACCCAGTAGGAGCACCTGCTATAAATACTGTAGACATTAAAGCTGAGCAATGAACAAAATAGATGAAAATTCCTGCCCCCATGGAGATTATATTCTAGTGCAATAAATACATAGTTATACCCTTGTATTACTTGATTTGATTTTAAATCCTTTTTTTTTTTTTTT